TGAGAACATACTTTTTACAATGCGTGTAAGACTATTAATGTAAGTATATAAAGATACGGGTATCATTCCCTTATTTCTATGTCCTTTTATCTATACACTTACCCGCATACTCTTATATCTATATCCTAATAACCTATACATGGATATTCATATCCCTATGTCTATGCTACTACAGTTATATTCTTATCTATAGCTTTTCAGCTTTGACCAAGAAACGTTTTAATCAAGCTAAACTTGTTCTAATTCATCTGTATTTGATTTTTTTCTATTACTTAATTATTTCTCTCTTTGATATTATAAAAATATATTATTCTACATCATACTGATCAAACTGATGTCTATAGCAGGGCTATTTAAACGTCTAAATGGGGTAGTAGACTTCACTTCGTAAAAAAGCATTTTTACTTAAAATACGAATGTAAATATTTAATTAGCTGGCCTGTTAAAAAAACGAGTCTTTTTTCATAGTAAACAAGAAAGCTTGAAATAAAAAGCGTTTAAACGCAAAAAAATCGTTTTCTTTCTGAAATTTGGCATTGGCATATACAGAGTTGTGCATAACGTTTTGCTAGGGGAACAGCGTTATGATTTCAAGTTGAATACCTAATGAATTTTATACCAAATTAAAGCGCGTCGAAAACGAGATTTATTAATACTAAATAGTAAGAGTAATCAAAAGCTTTTAATGTTGAATTAATGAAATTTTCAGAAAATTTATGTTCTTTTGACATAGAAAATTAAGTCCCCAACAATTCAAATAAAGAGTAAAGTATTTCCTTTTTATATTTTTACATGGTTTGATAGAGCTCATCGAGCTCTGCAAAACCATATATATTGAAAGCGTTTTAAGCAATTTTTCTGAGATAAAAAATTTAAAAAAATTACTTGCAAAATTCTAAAAAATATTTAAAAGCTCGTTTTTTATATAGAAGAAAAACACTCGATTTTCTTAGTTAAATTAGCTTTTTTCATTATTTTTACGAACAACGACGCCTCGAGATATGCCCATCCGATGCAACGTGAAAAACTGCGTATAACGAGTATATTTTAAAGCGTTGTTGTTCGTAAAAATAATGAAAAAAGCTAATTTAACTAAGAAAATCGAGTGTTTTTCTTCTATATAAAAAAACGAGCTTTTAAATATTTTTTAGAATTTTGCAAGTAATTTTTTTAAATATTTTATCTCAGAAAAATTGCTTATAACTCTTTCAATATATATGGTTTTGTAGAGCTCGATGAGCTCTATCGAACTATGTAAAAATATAAAAAGAAAATATTTAACTCTTTATTGGAATTGCTGGAGACTTAATTTTCTATGTGAAAAGAACATAAATTTTCTGAAAATTTCATTAATTCGACATTAAACGATTTTGATCACTCTTACTATTTAGTATTAATAAATTCCGTTTTCGACGCGCTTTAATTTGGTATAAAATTCATAAAGTAATCAACTTGAACTTATAACGCTATCCTCCTAGCAAAAGGTTATGCACAACCCTTTATAAGAATTAAAAATAATCAAAATACAAAATTAACATTTTTGTATGAAGTTATTCTAATGAGAAATACTAACAACACATTACGACAAGTTTTAAATAATATTTTTTTTCTTCATCACTATAATATAATTATTTGGATTTTTTATAGACTATGATTTATTTTTTCATTGGATCTAAACTTAATCAAAAGCAACATAATTCTACTTTTCTACTCTCTTCGAATATAAGAAAAAAAAAATCTTGACTTAAAACAATAATAATAAATATATTTTCTAAATATTTATAATTAAATACTCATCTTTCTTTCTATTCTCCTATTTCCTACCTTGACAATACTGACTTTTGTATGCTTCTTGTCATTCAATAATTTTGAAAACAAGTCTGACTGGTTTTTTTTTGTTCTAATATATGCATCACTTGACGTAGAATTTTTTTTTACTTTTTCCTTTTTAATAAGCGAAGAACGAAAAAAAACGAAATAGAATGTATTGTTAAAAAGTCTTACACAAAATGGCAGAATATTTACTTGAAAAATAATATTTTTTTATAATCGAACGAAACACAAAAACATCAGCTATATTCTATAGTCAATAAATTGTCATTTTTTCAATAGGTTTTATTATTAAGAAAAAAAAACAATATTTGGAAATATTCAAAAGATCGATTTAATAAATTTTTTTTTCTTTATAAAATCTTTTCTTGATCATAATATTGACATTGATATTCAGAAATAATAATTTTGTTATTTAGTGAAATTTCTTAACAAAAAAACTTGAAATTATTCTTTACTAATGTTGATAAATTCGAGCAATCTTATTCTAACGTATTTACTGAATATTGTCTTTCCTAAAGATTTGAAAACATTGACTTAGAATCACAATTTTGTGTTTTTTCTAAATATGGCTTCAAAAATTTTTGTAGGACTTCTGGTTTAGAAACCATGAGTTGACCTTTTAGAGATTCATAAATTAAATTCCAATGAACTTTAACGTACAAAAAAATTACCCAAATTAGAAATGAAAAACAGCAAATGAAACAACAAACATTTATTAATAAAACAATATATTAATCGTTAGTAAGCTCTAAGTCATTTGTTTACAGTGAGTATTTTTGGTAAAGGACATATTATCAATTTATACAATTTTCTCGTTTTCTATTGAAAACCGACTTGCAATGTGATTTCCACAATGCTTGAATAATTGTTCCAAAACTCTTGATTCTTATAGTACTTGGTCAAGAACAATTTTGTTTTTAATTCTTTGTGAAAAAACCGATAATACAACGTATGCAGTCAAGGGAACTAGAACAAAAAAAAAAGAGACATCAATTTCCTTTGTCCAAACTTCATTTTTGCATATAGAAAAGGCCAATTCATAACTCCTAAACCAGGGATACGATAAAAACTCTAAAACCATATTCGAAAAGAACAAAAAGCTCTGATTCTAACACATTATTTTCAAATTTCTGCATACTCTTTGAAAAAGTTGATAAATAAATGAACATTTTGTCTAATTACTTTTCGATCATCCATTATGAATGAATGATGAGTTGGTGTCAAAACTTTTTTTTTTTATAGATAATTCGATCACATTGAGATGTATTTATTTTTCTCTCTGAAAACTAATTGACCTACGAAGATTGGCAGATTTTTTAAACGTAAACACCATTTGAAAAAGAAAGTGTTTTCCATTTTCTTAAGTCTTGGGAACAGTTGTTTCCAAAGAAAAAAAAAACACACGCGCATAGATTTGATTTATCTTGCTACCGAATAAATCTCAACCGTAACAACTATAATATAGATTTTTCGAGATGGAACAAGGTGACTTGAAGCCATCTTAGCCTTTGTACTTGGAAGTTCATTGGGCAGAAATTATTGAGAACTTTTGAATTCATGACAAGTTTTATTCTACTCATCAAGATCTATCTATCCTAAGTTGCTTTTTATTCTGAATACAGAATCGTGCCGTATTACCGGTCTTGCTTAGATATTTGTGTGTATATTCTTGAATATTTTTACAATTACGAAAAAATTCATGGGAAACATTTTTCTTCAATCGTATTTTGAAGTGATTGGTATATTTTTTATAGAATGGTTATAATATGATTTAGTACAAATTTTTATTATGAAAAATGTTGATTTTTTTTAGGCGTAATACAAACTTTTTATGAACTAAACTATCTGATGAATATTTTAATGGATAATTATAATTTTCTAACGAGGGAGGAATCCCAACTGATAAATCGTTTTTGAGTTGAGATTACATGCATTCTTTAGAACTAAAGAAGATATGAATACTTTGAAAACAGTTCAGGTCCTTTGTTTATTGCTACTAAAATATTGCATATTAACTTGGTTCCTCTCAAGAACATTTTGAATTTCGATTTGAAAATGTTCACAGAGATAGTACTTAATGATCGTACTTTCTTGTTTATGTTGTTCTTATCTTAAGATATAATCGTGGTAAAAGCGTGTCTCTCACATCAATCATATCTAACGGTAGATTCGATATTCTTATTTGAGAATGGAAGCCAATTAAAAGACCTCAAATTTTCGTTATAAACTATGCTCATTAATATTCTGTCTTTGTACAAAGTTTCAAGCCGAAATTTGAAAATAATCTTTCTTGGTGTTCCTGAGGGGATCACAATATTTGTTCAAACAATACCGTAAAAGTGCAAAATTTCGGCAACAATAAGCTAACAGAGTAAACCGTTTTCAAGATATTCATAGATTATTTAGTTCTAAAAAAATGCACGTAGTATCGATTCAACAGCGATTTATCAGTTGAAGGACTTTCATTATAAGGCTTCGAGGAAAGAGTATAGAACAGCTAGTTTGCATGTTTATTATACGTGATCTAAGATACAGAAAAAAATTATTTTGTAAAAAATGAAAAAGCCTAAGAGGAGCAATGGTTATTTAACAATTTATGCCAACAATCTTTGCATTTTTATTTATTGATGTGATATATAATCATAATCTCGATGATTTAACATTACTATAATAATCATTTGATATATAAGTGAGCAAATAAATACCTTTCACGGGAAAATTTCGATATTGTCCTGCGTCACAGAGATCAACGCTTTATTCAAAAATATAAATTTCACTTTTGGTGATTTGTAGATTTTCTTTTCTTATGATTGGATATTCTAATACATAATTTTGAAAAAATAGAAAGTTTCGTATTTAACTGATTTTTTTCTTTTATTAAAACACAAAAATTAGCAACAATTGTGTCGGAAAAAGAGAGAATATATTTCTTTTCTACTCAGTAAAATAATCCCTGCCAACTCGGATGCACGATTTATTTAAAAAAAAAATTTCAGAAGCTATGTAATTACGTTCCAAGATATTTTTATTTATTTGCAAATTATTCATCAAATATATTTTTATAAACTTGAATAATAAAACGAAAACATTTTTCTAATTGAGGTAGAGTTCAGATTTAAATTAAAAAGTTTTTCAATGAATTGTTGATGAATGGACAAATGTATTTATTATATATTTTTTGGTACTTCATATTCATTTTCTTCCATTATCATCTTTTGTGCTTGTTTGACGGCAACCATCTGTTCACGTACCATTGGATATTCACCAATATCTTTTATTCGTTTATAAATAATAGATAATTTGTTGAAATTTTTGATCGATTTCAATTCATTCATTTCTTGTTCATAGATATTTTTAAGTTCATTCAAAGCTTTCACCAACTCCGGATTCTTATGATTCGTCTTGTGACTCTCACATATATCGACTTCTTGTCGAATGATTCGTAATAAACCAGACTTAAATCGATCTTCGTCTGATGAATGAACAATATGAGTTAGAAAGTAAGAAAATTCAGCACTTGCATGACATAACTGCTGCAACATTTCATTCATTTGATTTCGATCATATGTTGAAGGTTTATTTATAAATTGATACTCAACTATATATCCAATAGAACGATGTTGATTGTATGGACATTGACAACTGCGACAATTCTTTTCAATTTTATGAGGAATATCATATCTAACTAAAAAGGGACCAGTTTCAACAATTTTACCTTTACATAGTAAACAAATTGTCATAGAATGATCAAGAACTTTTGGGTACAATTGAATAGACGGTTTTAATGAATTCATCTTCAATAAAATAAGATTTCGAAGAATATTTCTCATTGTTTCTAACATTGGATCAATCATATGAATAATTTCAAATTGAGCATTTTTTATTGATTGTAAGTTACTATTTATAGAATAAATAGAGACGTTTCTACGAATATAATCAATCAAACGTTTTGATTGAGTTACTGAAGTTGACCAACTCATTTCATATTCATGTTTTTCATCATCATTGAACTTAATTTCATTTTGTAAAGCAACCAAATAACGAAATGATTCACTATCAAAACAAAATGTATTTTCTTTTTTGAATGGAACATCACCGATTGAGAGAGAACTGAGCATCTTTTTAAGTAGTGGTGCAGT